AAAAATCTAACCAATATTTTATATATATATATATATATATATATATATATATATATATATATATATATATATATATATATATATATATATATATATATATATATATATATATATATATATATAATTCCGCCATTTAAAGTTTTACATATGTGATTTTATAATGTGCATTACAAATTGCATTCCCTATTTCTTTTTATATTTTGGAATATTCATTGTTTTCGGCTCTTTTTTTATTTGTTTCAATTTATTATATTGAAATGTGGTGTAATGTTAATAATGTATTATCTCTAAATTAATAGGGGCAATTTGCTATAGGAACCTTTCTATATTATAATTTATGTGTGTAGATCCAAATCAAAAATTCCATGTTTTAATAAATTAATAATATTTATTGTGGCAAATCTTAGTTAAAATCAAATCAAATCCCAAAAAATCTCTTATCAAAACAAATTCCAAAAAATCTTACTTCCAATTATTAACTAAAAAATTAAATTAATTCATAAAAGAAATATACAACTTATTTTACAAACTCATACTCTAAAAACGCTACCGATGACTCCGGGAACTGTGACGCTACTCGCGACGCCAATGACTCTGTACACTGCAAATAGCAAACTGAAAATTAAATTTTGTATTATTGAATTGCAAACAACGAAATACCTATGATTTCGTCAAATGCAAACAGCGAACTGAAAAAATTCAGAATTTGCATTATTAAATTGCAAACAAAAAATTACCTATGACTTTGCCAAATGCAAACAGCAAACTGAAGAAAAAAATTCAGCAGAAGTTGCATTATTGAATTGCAAGCCATAAACTACCTATGACTTCGCCAAATGCAAACACTAAACTGAAAAAAAAAATTATCATCATTAAAAACACCAGCAAAAAATTTGTTTATGGAACACGTTGCAAACAGCAAAAACATTAAACAAAATATTTGTAAAATATAACTTAAGACATACCTTGCAAATTGTAAGCCAGAGGAATCGAATCTCAACACCAAACGCAATTCTTCAAACAACAGGCGAAGTTAAACAAACCTGCAAACGGAAATTGCTAACAACAAACGATGGGAAGGTTCTACATACGGGAGACACAAAGCGAATTTTGTCTAGAATTTTGGATTTTTAAATTTTTTTTAGGAGAGGGAGGAGATGTTTGTAGTCCTCTTAAATTCTTTCACCAAGAAATTATCTCATAATCTAAAAATATCCCTATTTTTCCTTCTCTACAATATTTCTTCATAAAAGAATACAGAAAAAGAAAGGAAAAGAACCGAGAAGAGAGAGAGAGAGAGAGAGAGAGAAAGAGAGAGAGAGAGAGAGAGAGAGATGCCGAGGGAGAGATGCTGGCTTACCTATAGGGTGAGACTTGAGAGA